CACACACACACACACACACACACACACACACACACACACACACAGATACATACTCAGACACACACTCACAGCAGATGTTTGGTCACTGGAGCATTAAACTTAACGTTAGGATAACTAACATTTACGAAAATCTATTTTTACCCATTTCTGCCCTCATGACATGGTTTTCTCATTATTTTCATAATATTAAATTGATTTTTTTAAAGATGATACAAGAGAGAATATTAATGCAGATGTGATTGGGTAGAGGGGGGAGTAGCAGGTTCAAATTCTCAGACCGTGACAAAACGTTTGGGTGGGACTTTRGTTTGAATCAGAGCAGCCTTTATCTAAAACGTCACATTTTTATCTTTCCCCCTTTTTCCTTTTGATCTTGTTTTCTCCTCTTTCCTTCACCTTTGCTCCGGGCCATTCCGGCCTTTGACTAACTGTCCTGCTGTGCCACGGAAAATAAAAGCACCCACTTAAGTCATTTACAGCCCTTAAAATCCCTTTAATTAGTAAACCGTGAGCTGGGGAGGGTCTGCACAGCTCAGAGCATATGAAAAACATTAAATAAGTAAAAACATTTCCTGCAAATATTTAATAAAATGAAGACATCACAGTGAGTGTTCAAATTTGGTGCTGCCCTCTGAAAGAAAAAAGTGTTTCTTTTGCACAGATTTAATAAATTCAAACAATAAAGTAAAACAAATCTTTTAGATTTGACTTGTATGAAACTTTAAGTAATCAGGTGCAGAATGAAACTCTACCAGCTTTTAAAAAAAACAAGCTCAACAAGTTTAACTTTKCTAATCCCTATAAAACAGTCAATGTGGCAGATGAGCTCAATGGGATTAAATGCATTCCTGCATGGGATGCTAAGTTTTAAGTTWAAAAAGGAAAAATGTTTAAAAATGCCCTCCCTAAATGTGTGCTGAATGGATAAGAAAACCATTTACAGCTAAATCAGTCGTTTTAGGGAATCTGCTTGCAAAAAATGACCCYAAAACATTTWGTCATCACATTAAAACACAYATRTCCCATGTGAAACACCWGGGTCGCTCATTCTTCTGCCTTTTSCTGTAAATGTAAGAYTTTACATGTGAAATAAGCAGGTTTATTGAGCTGCTCTGACACACAGGAAAACCTCTTAAAACAGATGACAAGCTCTTTTAATGGGCACCAGAGTTTACAGGGTTTATGTGTTTCTGAAGGGGCTCATAAAATCACGAATTAGCCCCAAAAAATAAATGAAAACATAAGCCAAAAATAGGCATAGTTCCTAAAATATGACTTTTTCTTCCTCAGCTGACAGAACTGCACTAGTATATTTTAAAAGGCTGAAGCAAAGTGAGGCCTCTACTTCTCCTTATTATGTCTTGTTTTGTTCAGCTGCCTTAAAAAATACAAAAAAAAAAAAAAAGGAGAAACTTCTTTGCTTTGTGAAAACTCGGGTACAGTTTTATTTTATGAGTCACAGTGTTGAGGTGGTTCAACACGAAATAAAGTAATTTAAACTCGTCATAATTACTGTGTAAGTTGAGACAGAAACAATACAAGGGCATAAAAGTAAAAAAAAAAAAATAAATCTAATCGTCGAGTGACTTACCTTAAAATTACTCGTTCATTTCCTGTAGACACTTCCAGTAAGCACTTCCAGTTTTGCTCCCATAATCCGTTTCAAAAGGCTACAAAAACACTCAGCTGTGACGTTAAYGCTGGCATTTTACTGTATGCTGTACGCTATTCAAAACTCTCTCACACAGGATTGCCGCTGCTTCGTCAAACTTTGCCAGGAAAAGTCAAAAGTGATTTCCTGTGTTGTTGGAATTTTCAAAATAAAAGCAGCTCYTTTTAAATTTCACGAGATGGATGTAAAAGCGTCGAAATGGCGCCACCTGCTGTACATTTAGCATACTGCACTTTCTAATGTTTGGCTCAAAATTCAAACCTTTCACAAATTCACAAAAAAGTCCTATTAGTGCAAATAATTATGTCACCTGTTTTAAATTATAAAAAAATCGACCATATCTACACATTTTGATTTGTGGTTAAATGTTATTCTCAAAATGTATTTTTCCTTGACAAGTAAAAAACATGCACACATATTTGCAATTTTTTATTTGACACACATCCATACAATCAAATCAGTTAGGTCTTAGCAACTGGGAATCCAGCTGCAGATTAGAAACAGAGATTATGAAACTGTGTCTGATGCAGATTAAAGCAGATCACAGAAAGAGTTTGAGACAATGTAGTCAGGATGTTATGGATTAACTCTCTGTCCTAATGAGAACATTATGTCACGTCTACTCTTAAAGCTGATTTAGGTTTATTTATTTAGATCTGGTTATACTGACCATTTCTAAAAATAGAAAATAGATTTTCTACTCACATAATATATATATAT